AAACACAGACTTACTTTGCTTTGCTTTAAGCTTAAGCTCAGATATAGCCAATTCTCTTGCATCTCCAGAAGAAAACTTTTCTGCAAAAGTAGAATAGTTTCTTGTAAAACGTCTCTTTTTTTTACAGGCTAAAGTCAGCTCCTCATTCGCCAGCTTCTTGTTTGAATTTTCCCGTTCCACCATAAATGGTGCCTGACGCAGAATGTAACTGCTGCACCGTTTAAGGTTGAACAGGAAAATTCAAACAAGAAGCTGGCAAATGAGAAGCTGACTTCAGCTGTACAACTTTTTAGTGTTTGACAGTTTCTCGTTGCAGATTATCTTTCTTTTTGCCCTTTCATTAGCTACTAGCTAAGCGAGATTGTTGTCTGCATTGCTATGGTGACCAGCAGTCTGGGCGCCAACCTTCAGAGTTGAAGGGTGAATTAGCAGTTGTAGGCTATAATAACTCCAGCGTTTAAAAAAACATTTTATATGCTATTTTTACCAATATGTTAAACTTAGCAAATAAACAGAAACTGCACACTACAATTAGCAGAAAAATGACATATTACAGTGTGTTCTCTGTAGAGGAGGTGTTCACTTATTTTCACCTAGAAAATCAACAAAACATGTAATTTGACTGGGGCGCCTACATTTTTGCATATGACTGCAGAAGTGGAATGAATGGAAGCAGAAGAGAGGGATTTTTAGTAAAGTGCACAGTGAGCGTAAATCTGCATATGAAGCATTAATACAATACAAAATTGAAATTCTCATCACCGTGTTCCCTCTCGTGGAGATGAGGCACTCGGGTTTTTGGAAGGGTATTCATTCCGTCCGTCAGGGTTTGTTGACTTTTATAGTGTGTGTTTGTGTGTGCCTGTGTGCTTAATGTCTCGCTCCTTCTGCTTATCCCCGTAATCCGTTCCCAGCAGCTTTTCATTCCGTAAAGCTTTGATGAGGACAAGAAATGATGGACAAAGAGAGAGAGAGAGAGAGAGAGAGAGAGAGAAAGAGATTGTAGTAGTTTGCCTTGAATGGAGCAGGCGCTCTAGGAACCTCTGATTGAAACGATTTCATTAAGAATCCAAAGCTCAGCTAGATGCTTAACCAATGGAGCGTTCGTTTCTTATGGCGATCCTACCCCACCAAAGCAAATCTTCAATTAATAAGTGAATAAATAATGGCTGCATTCAATGATGAATGATTTATTAATAAAGTATAAATGAATCAATAAAATTGCTTATCAATTAAAACTAAATGAGTAAATTATTTATGTGACACATTCATTATTAATACACATTATTCATTTATACTATTAAATTAGTATAAATGAATTCACGTCTGTTGAACATTGTAAATGCATTTTGTGTGCTGTGCTTAATAGAATAAGTGCAGGTTAAATGAAGGTGATTTGAATTAAACTTTATTAGAAGCCCCTACCTTTCACTTCCACTCACTGGCTACTTTATACCTCATAGATTGGTGAATGTGATGTTGATTCAGGAACTTCAGTGTTAATCCAAAATTGTTTGTACAGAAAGTCTATCCAGGATCTACTGCAGGAACCTTCTTGCAAGCACAAAGACTGGTATCTTCAGAAAACTGCAGTCAAACCCTGAGACCAGGGAACTCTGACTCCTGACCATTCCCTTGGTCTGGAGACACTGCCCAGATGCCTCAGCAATATGCATTGCCAGGGGAAAAGTTGTTTCCACCTTCAACTAAGCCAGGGGCATCCTCACCAGAGACCTGCCAAATGGTGGATAAATTGTGCCTGTAGACAAGGAGGGATCTACCTAACTGGTAACCAATAGCTGACAGCCTCCCCTCAGGAGTTTGTTGACTTATTTGCTGCTAGGGATCAATTTTGTCTATCACTAGGGTTGTGGAGCCCCCAGATAGCCCTTAGGCCAGACCTGTAGTTCTTGCAAAGATGGGAGTTAGTGTATTATGTATTAGTGTATCAAAGACTTTTATGCGATTACACTGATAATGCAGTAGATCACATCAAGGAATCCAGATGGTTTAGCCACCTTTATCTATGGGTTATCTGCAGGTGATAATGTCTCCAAAAACTAAGCCAAACACTGCGTTCACCTTAGGAGAGGGTCTATGGTGATTGTATGCCATGCTATTTGTATTGTGTAACGCCATCCTAACATTTGACTGCCTAATGGAGCATTTTGGCTGGTATTCCCCAAATTTTGTCTGGATGACCTCTTGGTTAATGCCAGAGGTGTTGCCAGAGCAGCTACCCGTTGTTCTGGCCACAGAAATGCTCACCTGATGCAGAGGATTAGCTTCTTGGGAGGTCAGATTGTGGGAGCTGATGGGGTGGCAACAGATCTAGCTAAGTCAGAGGCAGTCAAGTATAGGCCAGTCCTCAGGATGTTCTATTACTGAAGGTTTTTTTTTTTTTTTTACAAAGAACTACTCAAATATTCCCAGCCTTCCCAGTCACTTAGCACACAAGGGCCAGAAAATCTTCATGACTCGTAGCAGGCACTGGTCACAGTTCCAGTTCTCACCTACCCAGACTTCTGCCACTGTCGCTTCAGGTTGAACAGAAAAGCAATACTGCTGTTTGGGTCTCAGTTCAGGAAGCATCCTAAGTGCAGATGCAGAAGAGAGTGGCATAATCTATGCAGGTGGTCTAAGGCTGCTTAGGTGCGAAGGTGTATTGTACTCACTTAACAGTCTTGCCCTTTGCAATCAGCTGGCAGCTAGAAAGCCAGTGCCCCAAGCATTTCAGCAAGGAGTGCTGCAAGGACTTTAAGTGGTAGTTGGGGCAACATCTTTTGGTGTGGCAAATAGCATTCGGCCACAAGTGTACTGCACATAAGAACCTACTAAGGAGTCTGTGATCCTTCACAACAGTGGTGGGTGGGACAGGTGGGAGACACCAGGCAAAGAGTAAGGGTTAACATTCTAGGTTTCTTTCTTTGCACAGAATCCCAGACATCTACAGGGTGCACACCAGCGGTCTTGATCCATGCACAAGAACTGAGCACCCAGTTTCTGATCATCCTCCAGACCCCAAGATCGACTTTGTTCTGCTCGTGGCAAGCAAAAACGGGCATACAACACATGCTGTAAGGGCCCTTGTTGCCAACAAGTCTGGGTACACAGACCAAGGATGAAATGATAAAAAAGACTATGCCCTAATTGACCTGCCACTGTGAGGGCCCATGTGTTCTCTTGGAATGGCTGTCATATGTAAAGAGTGAAGCTGAAGATGCATGATGGGATGTGTTGGGATTTTCTAACACTTTCAGTTACTGCCAGCTTTGCTGTCTTTGTAAAGATTGTGTGTGTAACCAACTATACCATTTTCCACATCAGAACTGGCTAGTCATTAAAACATGAATTGTGTCACTTGTTAATTTTGCATTGCTTACAGGCTATCTAGGTCTTTATTGCTGTGAATCACTGGTGTATTGCAAGTGCCCCTGTTTAATCTTAATCTGTTTAATTATCCAGTGCAAGCCAGAAGAGGATGGGCTCCCCTATTCAGTCTTGTTTCCATGCACTGGTTCTTCTTCATGCTCTTAGATGTTTTTTCTTTTAGAGTCTTGATTCCACTTGATATTTCTTCCTCATGCTCTTAGGGAGTTCCTCCTTTTGAGTCTTGGTTCCTCTCAGTGGTTCTTCCTCATGCTCGTAGGTGTTCTCTCGTTTTGAGTCTTGGTTCCTCTTAGTGGTTCTTCCTCATGCCCTTAGGGAGTCTCTTCTTTTGAGTCTTGGTTCCTCTCAGTGGTTCTTCCTCATGCTCATAGGGAGTCTCTTCTTTTGAGTCTTGGTTCCTCTCAGTGGTTCTTCCTCATGCTCGTAGGTGTTCTCTCCTTTTGAGTCTTGGTTCCTCTCAGTGGTTCTTCCTCATGCTCTTAGGGAGTCCCCCCTTTTGAGTCTTGGCTTCTCTTACTGGTTCTTCCTTGTGCTCATAGGAGTCTCTCCTTTTGAGTCTTGGTTCCTCTCAGTGGTTCTTCCTCATGCTCGTAGGAAGTCTCTCTATTTGAGTCTTGGTTCCTCTAAATGGTTCTTCCTCATGCTCATAGGGGGTCTCTCCTTTTGAGTCTTGGTTCCTTTAAATGGTCCTCCCTCATGCTCGTAGGGAATTCCCCCTTTTGAGTCTTGGTTCCTTTAAATGGTTCTTCCTCATGCTCTAAGGGAATTCCCCCTTTTGAGTCTTGGTTGCTCTAAATGGTTCTTCATCGTGCTAATAAGGGTCTCTCCTTTTGAGTCCTGGTTCCTATCAGTGGTTCTTCCTCCTGCTTTTAAAGAGTTTCTCCTTTTGGGTCTTGGTTCCTCTCAGTGGTTCTTCCTTGTGCTCTTAGGGAGTTCCTCCTTTTAGTGGTTCTTCCTCATGCTCTTAGGGAGTTCCTCCTTTTAGTGGTTCTTCCTCATGCTCTTAGGGAGTTCCTCCTTTTGAGTCTCTTCTCCTTTTAGTGGTTCTTCCTCATGCTCTTAAGGAGTCTCTCCTTTTGGGTCTTGGTTCCTCTCAGTGGTTCTTCCTCATGATCTTAGGGAGTTTTTCTTGGCACTCTTTCCCTCTGTGATGTTCAAAAGGGGGGCTGTGGCCTGCATTTCTTTGGGACAATTTTAGTTGTGGAAAGAGCCATCAAAATAAAAGTAAATTGAAACTAAATGAATATAGACAGAAGTAGGCAAAATTACATAAATATAATCAATTAGAAGCAAATGGTGTATTGCTTGCCTTGTGTTCGGTAGTAGTACTGGTTTACCCAGGAGGAATGGTAGTGGGTTGTCAAGGAAGTTGTTGCCACGCAAACAGCAGTAGTTACTGTGTGTGTGTGTGTGTGTGTGTGTGTGTGTGTGTGTGTGTGTGCATGGGTGTGTTTGCATGTTAACATGCCAGCATTTATATATTTCTGTATGGGCACTATGCTTCATTCATGCCACTCACTCAAAGCACAATCTAATGTGTATAGAGTTTGTGTGAGAGAGATTGAGAACATATATGTGTGTGTGAGAGTGTGTGTGTCTGTGTGTGTGTGCCTTCAAAGCTGCAATCCGTGTGTGTACGCTTGTGTATCTCCGTCTCATTGGCCGTGCACCATTGGAGTAGATGAAAAGTGGGTGTGGGAATGGAGGGAGAGGGGAGGGGGGGAGAGAGACAGAGATAGACAGAGAGAGAGAGAGAGAGTGATAGGGAGGGACGGGTGGAGAGAGAAGAGAAAGCAACTGTTCTGTTTCAGCAGCTATTCAACAGTGAAGAGAAAGAAACAGAGAGAGGAAAAAGGAGAGAGAAACAGAGAGAAGCTGCTTACGAAAAAAGAGAGAACAGAGGAAAACGCTCAGCATCACGAAACTCTACAGCGGATTTACCTTTAGTGCACAGGTGAGAGAGTGAAGATCTGCCCTGCTTGAGAAAGAAAGAGATAAAGAAAGGAGAGAGAGAGCCAGAGAGAGAAAAAAGCAAAGCAGCTGTAACTCTTGAAGACCCAAAGCAGTTAATTTGGAGCAGCAGCAGAAAGAACAGGTGAGCACTTGGCCAATGAATGGAGGACAGATGGAAGCGGAGACCGTAGAAAACGAGGCCGTAACGGAGGTATAAACCAAAGGAAATAAAGGAAATGTCCTGGGACGATTTTGAACAGCGAGACTTGAGTTTGTTGCTTCAGTTCTTAAACTCATCTGGAATTTGATTCATTCCACTCCACATTCCAACTCCAATTTGCAAATACAGTTCGGACTCCAGGAGTAAAGGAGTAACCCTTCACTCTATGGGGGACGCCCAGATGGCCCCCAGCCAGCCACGGCTTGGGATGGAGTGAGAGAAGGAGAGAAATTTTAAAAAGAAACAACGTTTTCTGGAAGCGTGGTAACTCTGGAAGCCCAGCGCCATGCCGGTGATGAAGGGGCTCCTGGCCCCCCAAAACACCTTCCTGGATACTATTGCAACGCGCTTCGACGGAACCCGTAAGTGAAATTAAATACCTAAATAATTATTAATTAAAGTAAAATATTTAAAGCCTACATCTGACCATAACTATCACATCCGGAACCAAAAAGAATTGGGTTTGTCCTTTCAGTTTAAAAAAAAATGAAACATGAAATTTTTGTAAAAGGGTAATTTTGCTGATAGGTCCCTCATTTTTTCTATGCTTTTCTTATAGTCAGAACATTTTGTCCTGAAAATACATTAAAACATACTCTTTTGTGTGTTTGTGTGTGTGTGTGTGTGGTGTTTCCATGTTTTCCGTATTACTGTGTACAGTACTGGGCAAATGTCAGAGACCACCCTGCATTGATCCAATTTCCAGTCAAAACACCATTAAGTACAAGATATTAATTTTTCAGGAGACATTTCTGAGGAGATTAGTTATTAAAATGATCAACCTGCATTATAAGGGAGAAAGTCAAAGGCAGTAAATGAAACAACAGGAGTTTCCAAAACTGAAGCTCAGAATTTTTTTCAAAGATCTAAAGAAAATGGGATTCTTAACAAACACCTGCAAGACCTGGGAGACCACCAACACTGTCCCCATCAGATAAACAGTGCATAAATCTTTTATCTTAAAGAGAGAGGAGAAAATCAAGCTCCAGATCTGAAAACATCCCCAGTTGTTTCTGTCCATCCTTCCACTGTGAGAAGACAACTCAGCGCTATGAGTCTGAAAGGACGTGTAGCTGACAAGAAGCCCTTAATTAATAAAAGGGAACAGACAAAAAAGAACAACATTTGCAAATCAAACAGAGAAGCTGCTGGTGTTCTCAGAGTGCAACCAACTTCTAAGACTGAACTTTGTAAGTGTGGAAAAAATATCCCTGCTGAAAAAGGAATAAATGTACTTAATCAGCGATTTGGAACGAAATAAATGAAGGGTGTTCTCTGCTTTTTGCATAGTGCTGTAAATGCTGCTGTACTCCACCTAACCTGACGCTAATCATAACCCCAGCAACCAACAGATCAGCTGTGGCCTCTTCTGCTTTCTCATATAAAAGCTGCAGTTTTGATCCCCACAAAACACACATACACAAAATATCAAAACTCATCAACCTGACTAGATCTTCTTACTGCAAAGACAGCCAGTGGTGTAAGGTTTTACGTAACATCACCAACAATCCAGGCACAAATTCTCAGCCCATTTAAAAGGTCCTTTTAAAGACAGAATTGCCACAATCCAATTTTGTAACATTCCTGCTTTTTTTCATTTTGGTGAATGCAAAGAACAAAGCTGAAAGCTGCTTGAAGTCGTATTAATCTACTGATGGAAGTCTCTGCGTTCTTTAGGCAGTGGAAATGGACTCTAATGCTGACCTGAGACCAGTTTTGTAGGGTTTTCTTGGATACAAGACGTTGAATCTGAGGCACACTGCAAAAAATGGTATGTTGTCAAGTAAAATCATCTTAAATATAGTCAATAAATCTAATTTCTCTCCTGTTGAGAAACTTAATTTAAGATTATTTACCTTATTTCTAGACATTTTTTACTTGTTTTGATTAAGTAAAATTATCTCACTATGTTGGAAGATAATTGTGCTTGCTTTAACAAATGTGCTTCAAACCAGGAAAAATTATCTGCCACTATAGTGAGATCATTTTACTTAATAAAATTACTGAAAACAAGTGAAAAATGCCTAGAAATAAGCTAAATAATCTTATAATAAGTGCACACCATCTCTAAATGGGAAATTAGATACCTCGACTAGATTTAAGATCATTTCACTTAACAATATACCATTTTTGCAGTGCAGGGAAAAAGTGAGGTGCCTTATTTGCCTGCTTACTCCAAAAGCGTCCACTTTATTAAAAACTCCTAGCTTGTATTTCCACTGTCTGTTCACTTCATGACCTCCAGCTACTTCTTAGTCTACTATATAGGTACAGTTGCAGGCAGCTGTAGATGCTTCTGCGGTTTCAGCACCCTCTTACTTTCTGTGTAATACATATAAAGTGTTGACACTGTGATTCTTTAAAAGCACATGGTCATTTCATAGGTAAATAAATGATGGTGAATAACAATTAGCTATTATACACATTTTAAAATTCTTTATCTTTTCTTTTTTATTTCCAAACTTGTTGAAAATTTTTCAATTTTTTCTAGATCACTGTACTGGTACTGGCACACTTCTGTCAAAGCGTTCACTTCTGCTTTTTTTTGTATTAATTTGTCTAGCAATACATTGGTGCAATAGAAAGTTTGAAATCTCAGGATTCGATTCCCACATACATTTTATGATCTGTTATTCACAGCAGTTACGATCATCGCATTTAAAACATAAGCACTGAATGAGCAAATGCTAGCAAATCTGTGAGTCCTTACCTTCAAAGCCTTGCTGCTCTTCGCAGACACATCATAATCCAAAACATGTGGTCTTGATAACACAGCAAGAGTCAGAGATCAGTTTAGAGATCTATGAGTCAAGCAGAAATAAACCCCTCAATTCTAGTCTCTGCTACTCTGTGTTAGCAAGTCATACAATTATTCTGATTGTTGGCAAAAAACTTGAGTGGTCTCTTTGAAATGAGACCAAGATCATGACTGTAGCCCAAAGTATGCAAAGAGAGTGCTCCTTTTACTTTGGGTATGCCGTTTTATAGAAAAATGGGGCGACAGTTAAAGGCTTATGGGGATTTCCAATGATTTTTCAAAATCTCTGCAAAATTTAGTCCTTAAGATATAAACAAAGTCATTCAGAGTGGTTTGGTGTAAAATGTTCCGTTCTAGAGAAACTTACTGAGCCAGAATTATTCACAGTGGTGGGGATAGGAACCAGACGTCCACCTCTAAAAGCTCCCTCAGAGACAGTTATTACATTAAATGGTAATGAATACTCAGCCCGATGTCTGAGACACTGTTTTATAATAGTTTTGAGGTCAGATTTTGGTTTGAAATATTTTATTTTAAATCCATTCATGGTGGTAATGTACATGGAGGGTGTTGTAAATATAGTCCCCAAAGAAAATGTATCCTTTACAGATTAACCAATATTTTACCATTATCTATGTATTTATATTTACATATAAAAGCTCAGAAGACGTGTAGGTTCACTGGTGGTTTCGCATAGTAAATAAAATGGCTATATTTGTGTTGTTGACATTGCAACCCCTGGTTCCCATCACCACCACTGTAAAGAAATGGTCGGTAAGTTTCTCCACAATGAACCACTTCACATCAAACCATCATGAAAGAGTTTTTTACATCTCATTGACTGAATTATAAAGAAATTTCGAAAAATCATTGGGATTGCCCTTCAAGGTAAGTACCTCACTAACAACAAACTTTTCATATTAAAGACATTGATACTGCATTAACTCAGGTAGCTAGTTAGCTCATAACCCAAATTCTAATCTTAACCTAAGGTTTGTGCCCCCAACTGCAAACATAGCCCCCTACAAAATAGCACTCCTGATGGCCCTGCAGGCCTCCATATGGATGATGTTGAACTACAGCCCATCTGTTGTCATGCACAATTTATCAGCCCGCTCTACCCCATTCATCACTGGTCAGTTTCTGAGCACAGGGCCGACATTGTCCAGGTGTTATTTGGGTTGTGGATGTTTCGCAGTACAATAGTGAGACTGACAGGGTAGTGTGTGTGGTGCTGGTACAACTATAACAGAAACAGCAGTGCTGCTGTTTCTACACATGTCAGTGTCACTGCTAGGTTGACAGTGGACCACCATCCAAAAATATCAAATTGTGCATTAACAGATGAGATACAGTCTCTGACTGTACACCAGCGAGGTGGAGCTACAATGGAGGCTAATAAAGTGGCCAGGGAGTATAAAGGCAGGCGTGTCCTCCAGTTCTAATATTGTATGCCCATTTGTTTTTCAAATAAATCTTTTTTCCACTCCTCCAAAGTTCAGTCTTTGAAGGCTGCATTTTCTTCTTCTCATGATCCGAGCAATCCCAAACACATTCAGTGATGTTGAGTTCTGGACTCTGGGGTGGTCAGTCCATTGTTCTAAGAACACCAGTATCTTACTTGTTTGATTTTCAGAATTTCTTCTTTTTTGTCTGTTTTTGTTACTCAATGAGGGCTTCTTGACAGCTGCACATCCTTTCAGACCCATAGTGTTGAGTTGTCTTCTCAGAGTAGGACAGTTTCGGTGGTTTTGGTGGGCAGTTTTAAATTAAACACATGAAGAGTGGTCTCTGATTTTTGCATGGCACCATACATTTGTGTATTTACAGTTAACTCTGAGACTCTGAGACCTGGGGTGAGGATCGTACTATAATTGTTTTCTCTCTCTCTCTCTCTCTCTCTGCCTCTTGTCTTGTTTTTGTACCTGCCATGCAAACTCATGGGAGAACACTTTCTAGACCATTGTCTCCTTTTCTCATGGGACAGGCGTTCTGTAGCCTGTGTGTGCGTATGCTTGTGCTGTCGTCAGGGGACAGGTGTGTTTGGATGTTGTTCTCTTGTGCTTCGGAGTCATTCTGAGGTCCGTCATGAAGACTGTATCAGTTATTTAACTAAAGACTTAACTTGCTGATATAGCAGATACAGTACATCATCATCATAGTCCCAAGGCTGTATATAGTAGCTTCATACTGATTTGTTGAGCAAGACTGGCCTTTTTGCATGAAATATAATCAATAAAAAAATAAAACAGTGACAACAGTGCAGAGCACTGCATCAACAGTAGGCTTAAAGTGATACTTTGGAGATAAATCAAATTCACAAATTTTTCTCTTGGCTCAAAAATAGTCAAACAGCAAAGGCATGGTTGGTGTCTTGAGTTTGACTTCTTTAGATTTGCGCTGGAGCTATGAGGCTAATGTAGTTATGAAAGTATATTTCCACCAAATTAGCGTTGTGGACACTGCATGCCTAACTCATCATATAGCAGGGCTGTACAATGCAACAATATTGTTGTACATGTTGGGAGAAATTAATTCACTGCGAATACAAAAAGGATCAGTCGTACAAGTGCGATAGAATTCTGTATGTGCATGTGTATTTCT